AGCATAGAGAATCAATCTGCTCATCCCCTTATGAGAGCTTTAGGAAAGAGAAAAAACGGAGTTGAAGGATAAGGAACGATCGGTAGCGTCATATAGAGGAATGGGGCCGTATTTGACAATATTCCCCACGCACTGGCTTACTCCGTACAGTGCGTTTCAGTAGTATACGTCCACCCATCATTTCAATAAAAACGTTCCTCAAATAACTGGTCCAATTATGCAGCACACATTGCCAGATTCGTAATATAAGAAAACGGTTAACAACATTTTCTCGGACAGGAAAGTCAACAAGAAAATTTTTTAGAATTATTTTTCCAAATTTTGGCCGTTTCATAATATACGTCCACCCTTCATAGATGACTCGGGAAAATTTTTCCTGTTTCAACCGGGGTACATATCCGTACCAAAATCCAAGACGACATGTCTCCTTGCGATGCCGCGTGGTCTCCGTCTCTCTGTAGAAGAAAAGGCCCAGATTCGGGCTCTCCACGATGCCGGACTCAGCCGTCGACAGATTGCCCGGCAAATCGGCAGGACTCACTGCGTGGTTTGCTCTTATCTAAGAGATCCTGAAGCCTACGACAACGGAGGTGCCCGAGGACGTCAGCGCAAGTTGTCCAACAGAGATGAACGAGAAATTTGGAGGAAAGCCTCGAACAGCACCAGCAGCGTCAACCAGATCCGTGCAGACTTGCAGCTGTCTGTCTCGAAAACGACCGTATGGAGGGCAATCAAACGCAGTGGCAACATCGTGAGAGAGGTTATGAGAAAGGCGCCACGCCTTACCAACGCGCACAAGATGGCTCGCCTCGAGTTTGCCCGGAAGAACGCGACCACGGATTGGAGACAGGTGCAGCTGTAGAACTAGGCGAAGCTTATGCACTGTAGAGTAATTTAAAGTCTTTAGGTGATCTTTTCCGACGAGAAGAAGTTCAACCTGGATGGACCCGATGGAGCCAGATGTTACTGGCGTGACCTGAGGAAGGACCCAGTGCAGTTCAGCAGACGCAACTTCGGTGGCGGTTCGCTGATGGTGTGGGGAGCCTACTGCTGGGACAGCAAGCTGGAGCTCGCATTTGTTTCCTGCCGAATGGACTCAGAAGAGTACCAGCAAGTTCTGGAATCCAACTTATTGCCGTTCCTGAGTCGCAGGCGACGACAAAGGTTGGTCTTCCAGCAGGACAATGCAAGTGTTCATGCTAGCAGGTCAACTTCCGCATGGTTGCAGCGACAGAAAGTTGAGGTTATGGCGTGGCCTGCGTGCAGTCCTGATCTGAACCCAATGGAGAACCTTTGGGGAATAATTGTGCGACGAGTCTACGCCAACAGCAAACAGTTTTCCACCATCGACGAGCTGCGAACTGCGGTCATGGATGCGTGGAGAAGCATCGACCCTTCAGTCCTCAAGAACCTAACAATGAGTATGCCGAATCGACTCATGGAGCTCTCATTCAAACAGGGTGCATCAGTTGATTATTGATTTTCATGAAGTGTACTGTTGAGTTTGTATAAATAAACTGTTATATGAAGTGGACGTATACTATGAAACGGTCGAAATTCGAAAAAATACTTCTAAATTATTTCTTTATAAACTTAAAATTTTGAAAACACGTTTTCCATAGTTTTTCAATGCAGCGAATCCGCTAATACATACTGCTAAATTAGATCACCCCATTAAGGAAAGTTTTCTGTGAAATAAGGGTGGACGTATACTACTGAAACGCACTGTATTTGTTTGCTACAGTATGGTACTTTCCTGGCCTGTTCCCCACAGTGTATTTTCCATAATCTGATATATTAGAAACTATGACCCAGTTGCTAAATGCACTACGAACAGAGCAGAACCCTTGCAAGTGAGTTCCTAAAGAATCGATAAGTAGCATGGCGCCCTTGCCTGCGCTATTGGGACGAAGGGTGCGCAGTTAGCACTCATTTTTCAGTCTATAGTATAAATTCCACTGCAAAAGGCATTTTTCATAAGGTTTCATAGGGAAAACGTAATGTGAGAAAAGGACACGCGGATAGAGTAAATATAGTGGTGTTATCCGCTAAATGCAGCCACCAAAGAGGGCTCTTCTAGAATTACAGGCCCGCCCTGGGTTATATAAACGAACTTGAAACACTCGACAGACCACAGGGTGCGGTAGGTTTACCCTTGCCGCGATAGTGGGTTGCATCAGAGCGTGCATTCCAGGGGCAAGAAGGTAGTATGCAAAAACCCAAGGTAAATTCTAAAGATAAATCAGGGAGGGTGGTGAAGACCTATTGCGCTTTCAAGTAGTCAGCGTAGGCTCAAGGCCAAAATTGGGTACTCTTTATGACTCCTGACGGCCATAGATGTTCGAGCAGCTGCCTACGAAAGCCTTCTGCTCAGGCAACGATGATAGCTGCTTCCTGCAAAACTGCTAACACAACTTCTACTTTAGTTCTCTCAACCCTTCCCTCGGTCCCTGATTCAAACCCTCTGCAATTGCTGCCACTTGCGAAACGACAGACGCCTTAGTAAGCTGTCATCATTGAAGCAGCACAGCGATCGATTCGCCTCACACAGCAATAACATAATCAACGCCGTCGCATGTACGCAAGGCACCCTAGACGGCCACGGTGCCACCATTGGGGCGGCCAGTGCAGAGCGCCGCGCTGCGGGTTGACGGACATGAGAACAGAAATATGTCGTCTGGCGAGTTGATTGCCTTCCGGCAGCATACCCGCTAGTGGTTATAGAAGTCCACAAAAACATAGCCAGTAAAACTTCGGGCAACGAAACGAACGAAAACGAAAAGGGAACGAGCACAAACCTGGCCAAAGGAGCCTTTGCCGATGACTTTGAGGATCTCGTATCGATAGGCGATATGATCATGTGCGACCAGTTGATAGCTGCCATTCTCATCATCATACCCGCAATTATTTGGACCACCTAAAATTGGATATCAAAAATACAGAGTTAGTCTGGAAATTACAGAAAAATCTCAGCCTACGACTTCATTATAACGGGTAGCTGAATATGGAAAACCACAATTTCGGGGTACATTGTCTTTGTTACAATTTTTATTGCTCCTGTCAATAGGTAATCAACAACAGCCTACTGACGTTTCTGGAGCTAGCCTGGTCGGACATTAGACCACCCAAGCCATAGGTCAACTTCGTCTTGTCTAGAGCGCTCCCAAACAGGATATACGAAGTTATACGAAGCGCAGCGCATTAAATTCACTTCCATGAATGAGTAGACAATACATCTAACGACGGAAATCGAGCGCTGCATTCATTATTGCAGGCTAGAACCTTGGTCCGAGCTGTCACGTGAAAAACTCGTATTTTGCCACTTCAGGCCTGCCCTTCTTTAGAAAGACGGTTAACCAAATGCCGCCTGTACATCTCGCTCAACTCTTAAACAAAAAGCTATTCGAGTCACTGGTCCATTTCTTTAGTTCAGCTTGTTTTGTGTCAAATATTGCCTTTATTTAAAAACAAGAGATTACGGGTCCGATCATCCTAATGTTTCCAAGTAAATAAATATTTCAAACAAGCGGTCGGTTCCAGCAAATGCGTCTCGCCCTCATTCGGGGACGTCGCCGATATTATTATTACATTTAATAGTGTAGCAAACGTACTACCAGCGGTTCAGGCTTCCGATTGAGTCTGAGTGCGACATAGACCGTATGTACTGTGGGAAGCCGATTCGTCATACAAGGTTAGCTGGTTGAAGTATATTATTAGCATTAGAGAACTCAGCTCTCATCCCCTTATGAGACCTTAGGAAATGAGAAAAAACGTAGTGAAGGATAAGAACAAAAAATCGCTGATAGCTCATATAGAGGATGGAGGCTCGTGTTGACAATCATTCCACGCACCATACTTGTCCTGTTCGCCACAAATACTTCCTTCCTATCCCTTACAGTTTCTACTTCTATTGTATTTTTTTATTAAGAAAATTATGTACCCAGTGCCTATGACTACGACCAAGCATAACCTGCAAGTGCAGTCTAGAGCAATCGATAAGTAGCATGGCCCGGCTGCGCTATTGGACGAAGCTTCGTGGCAGTTAGCATCTCATTTTTCGTCCTATAGTATTTAAATTCCACTGCCAAAAAATGATATGTCATCCATATTATCTGTCCCATCCATCGCCAACATGACCTTCCATCGGCACAAAATTCCGAAAATATTGCTGTCACAGTTAGGCTACTGTAAGACTATCCCAGCACGGCAGTCGCCTCTTTTGGAGATCGCTTAATTCTTAAGAGCACATGGAGTCTCAAAGGTCATTTCACGTTGATTTTATTCTATCCATCACAGCGATAAAAATGGAACAGCAACAAGCTCACATAGGTTGAGATAGGAATTCATCGAGAGACAGACCAACCCGAAAGCCTTCGAACTGTATCAATAGACGAAAAAATCAAAAAACACACTATTTTTCAGAATGAATAACGAAACCCTAAGGGGAAGAGGCTATAAGATCATAAGAACTCAGCAGAACGTGGCCGAAACTAAGCATAGTAAATTGGAAACATAAGCATTCCACAAACCGATAACGCCTCCTCGTTTCTTCGCCTGTGAACCGACGAAGAACACACGTACATAGTTGAATATCTCGCTTTGCTCATACGGTAACAATTTCGTGCCGAACGTCTGTATCGCGTCTTCCGGTCGAAAACCTCTGAACAACCCAAGGATAAATATTACTTAGTATTCAGTACATGTTCAAACACCTTAAAATTCGCATAATTGCACTGCATATTCGCTAACAAAAATTCTGTAATTATCAAGTATATCAAAAGAAAGTGCCCATAGAAAGAATAACCAAGTCGCGGCCGAGCTACCGAGCCAACAAGTAATACCTCTCTTTGCTAGGGTGCTAAAATTGTTTACGCTATGTAATTTCCCGTCAATATGGGTATTACAGCCATCATTACACTATCCCTGCTAAGAAAATCGCTCGGCAGCCAGTTGAATAAAATCATACTGTCAAAGACATATGAAAACATAACTTTCCCACATTTCCTTTCCCATAGTGCAACCAAGGGAAGAACTGATTGAGGACGACAACACTAAACGTTGCTACATACAATTTCACCGACGTCGACAATCGCTACTGCGTTCGCATACGTCAAGTGAGACCCGGTCAACGTTCGCGAAACGCCGCACTTATCACACATACTTTGCACAACCTAATAATTCTACGAAATTGATTATTTCTGCAGTGTATAATTTGAACTAAATTTTCTACAGATACTAAGAGCGCGATGGAGCTCAAAAATTGAAAAAAAAACACGAAATTTCTCAAAACCTTGTTCATGCTCGAAAACCCGACCATTTAGCTCGCCCCACAAAAAATGACAAAGTGATTATCACCCTTAATGACAGGTAACCTATCGCAAATTACATTCCCAACAGCCTTCACACGTCATTTCTCGATACTCGTTATTTCTCGATTTTCTTTAACCAGGAAGGTGTTTAGAACGGCTCATTCAACTAGATTGAACGAAATTCTCTTTAAATGCTAGAAAAAACGGAACATGACTCATCGAATGCAGGCAGAACTCTTCAAAAACTCTCTCAAACCAAGATTTTAGGTGTGAAAGGTGTGAAAGGATAGGTTTTTCAAACTCAAACTAAGATTTTAGATGTGAAAAATCATGAAAAAAAAACGAAATTCCACTGACCTTATTTCCGCCACCGGACGAGTTGTTCCCTGTACTGTTGGAATTATGGCCACCATTACTGCCACCTGATGAGGAAGTATGGGATCTGGAAAAGGGTAAGGAATTACATCAGCATGCTCTGACGGAAACGTATGTCGTCCCTGCGAGAAATTGCTTGCTATATATTCACAAACGCGATCTCGCTGATTACTATATGATTCAGGTCACGGGATTCACTTGAACGATGGACGGACGGACAGACGCGATCAGGGCGTAAAATCAAACACTCCAATGTCAAATAAACAAAACAAAGTGAAGCGCGGCACTAATCTGATGGATTATGAAGCAGACCATCGAGTTAATTACCAGGATTAGTTTTTTTTTTTTTTTTTCGGAAGGAATTAGTTTTCCCACAATTTCGTTTACCACAAATTGCAAGAGCCATCTGATCAAAAATTTACGATAACATCGGAAAAAATCTATTTCAGAAGAAAAACGAGAAAATGCCACTTTAAAAGAGTAAATCAGTCGAAAAAAAAAAGCCCAAAAGTACTTTTGCATACCTCGGCAAGTTACTTCTGTGCTGCAGATCAGACAATCATAAGTGACGACAACTCCCACAAAACGTCACAGTTTACTACCCATGAAATGATTAGCTGACTGCATCTGTATTCTATTGTCACTTTTTACGGCTACATATTCACTTATCAACTACAAGTTATCACTAACTATCAGTTATCGTTTTTTGGAGGTATCGTCACCTGTGGTGTCTGGTGTGCATTTACAGATGCACATGGCCGCAGAATAGAGGGTAGCAGGTCAGATGTGGACCGTCGTCCTCCGCTAGGTCATTATATCCGGAAACGGGTCAAAATCACACTCAACTCCAAATTGGAATTTACTTCGCTTCCTCTTGTAATTAATTGGAGCCCACGTACCCTTTGAGCGCAATCAATTGTATCTGCTATCATTAAAAAATTGCAGATAAACACGCTACACAGACTACTCATTCCCAAAATCTCCTGGAAACAGCCACCGCCTTACCGCAAATGGTCTGTTATGGCACGCTAAATTCCACCTCAAGGTAGCCCAAAACACTACTGAGTAGCGCAATTGACTCCTAACCATAGTATCGTTATTTTAAAGCAAATCCCTCGAATCCAAAATATTCCAAAAGCTTTGCAAAGCCACTTCTATAGAACAACCAATCAATAAATCAATAGTTCGAAAGCTCACCTTAGGGATTCATCACTAGGGCTTTTGGTCATTTTATGCCGTTGATCGGGTAATGTGCTCAGCGCCGAGACGCTGGCCGATAGATGCTTGGCGCCTATGGATGGTGCGCCTCCGGATGACGTGGACACTGATGAGCCTGGAAACGGAATAATCCTCTTACCAACTGACAACTGAGGCCAATGGACAGCTTCTCATATATTGCTGTCTATTTTCGATGAAAAATACGTTCCAGTAATAAAACGCATCTGAATCAGCGCATTTTCTTGGAGATAAGAGTACAACACTGATTGTATCGCGAAATGTCACGTTACCCAGAAGGAATGCCACATTCTCAGATGTTTGCAAGAGTGCTTTATAAGTGTACAGTTTCCTTCAGAGAACGTGAGATGAGTGAGTGTACGGTAGCAAATTTTCGGCGGGCGCTTTCCCGGCGATTGGGACACACAATATTTGATAGGCTTGGTGTCATCCCGGAGTCAAAGTGCAAAATCTTGATATTAACTACCACTGCATCAATACAACATGTGTAGAAAACACTCTTTGAATTCAGTTAAGAGGTCATCTCCCTAGATATTTTCACCTATCCTGTACTCTCTTGTCTGTATTACAGTACCGTATCGTAAACCCAGGTTAACCCAGAACCTGTTGGAAGAAGTCCTCAGCTCGTATTCAGCTCACAAGGCGCTTGTCCCCCACAGAACACGAGCGAATGGCGCCGAGCGCGTGCGTCGTCGTTGGGAGCGAGTGGGGGCAATCCATAACGATGCGCTCCGGATTAGGCACACACCGAGTGAATATATGCAAGGCGCATGCCTTGGACACCAGACACATGACTTCATGACATTCACATGTTTACGGATAACATCATTGGATTACCCCCGTCTGGGAAGTTCCATGTCCCACGGGTTTCTTGCCAGCGTCCGTGCTTGAACACAGAGACGACTCGCCGCACCGGGCCTCTGGACAAGAACCCGACATGACTTGACACCCGTCAATCATCAAACGGCGCTCGGCTTCGGTTACCGAAACCCAACATCACTGCTATCTGACCACTGTGGATTTTTCCAAAACAACATTTCTCAATCCCTATTGGTGCTCGGGAAGATAACAACCCAGAAGCTGAAATATTTGTTGTTCTTCTGATTTCAGGGGAGAAACGGCTAAAGGAGGCCGTCAGGTCCCCTACGCCCTCAAGTGCATAGACCAAAGGAGATAGTGCTGTAAAAACGCGACGTGAAACTTTGGACGGGTGCAGCAAACCCCAACTCGGGGATGGGTCTCAAAAACTGCATCTCCGGATGCTTCCCCTATTCTTGACCCTCATCGACAGGAGCTGCGTCATCGACCGGAGTAGAGACGCAGAGTTTTGGGCACCCATCCCCAAGTTGGGGCTTGCTGCACCCGGCTTCTGATCACAAGATTTCATTGAACACGCCAAATTCCCCAAAACACACATATTGCTCAAGAGACCAGAAATTCGTCGTCGAAACCGGCCAAACTTCTGCTTCAAAAAGAAGCTACAAAAAATGGTAAAACACGTTTACCAGTTTCAAACGTTGCAAAATCTCTGTTATTATCGCTGCCATTCAACTTCAAAAGATTAACTTTTCGCAGCTCGCTACACCTTAAGAAACGGGAATGTTTCGACTCTTTTTCGATAGTGCAGACAGACCTTTGAGCGCCCCACACAGCCCCAAAATTCCCATCATTTGCATGCTGGCACTGCCTGGCCTCATTTAGAATACCGCACCCTCAACTGCTCATTGAATGCAGGGGAAATAATGGCTGGCGGAAGAGGAACAAGGCAGAGCCCAGATAGAATAACCGTCCGAATGGAGGTACTTACCACGTAACTCGAACAGACTAGCGTACATTTCGTGCTTTTCGCCACATCGCGAGTTCTGCCGCTGCGAGGAGTTGACAGCGGCACAGTCGCGCGGCCAACTCGTGTGGAATAATAAGTGAGTGATTGCGGATGAATGGGCGAAACAATGACGACAAGACGAACAGCACACCTCAGATGTGGTTTGCGATGAAGATGTTGATGACGAAGGCAGTGGCGAGGTGAAAGAAGAGGGGAAGAAGACGGGAAACACGTTGGACGGTGTCAAGACGAAGAAAGTCAATCAAACAAACAAAACCGTCTTTCGAACGGCAGCACAGCGACTCCCAATATGTAGCCAGTGGCTGAGGAATTAGAGCGGGAGGGCGCCGGTTAATGACCGGCAGGCTCGCTGACGACTAGCTGGGCTGGGCTGGGCTGGCCTTGCTCGACTGGCTGGGCTCGACTGACTGGCTGGCTAGCTGACTGACTGACTGCCTCTGACTAGCCCTTTACGTCCGCCTACTCGCCTCCCAGCAAAGCGGCTAATCGAATAGCACACGACAACCACGACAATGCCCAACTCCTGTCGTCGTTGTTGTTAATTATGATGCTCCTTTAGGGTGATCACCCGGCTCCATCCAAACCGAACCCAGGTGGAGCCTCACGTATCAGAGTGTCAAATCTGTTTTGGTCATCCACGTAGCTCGAGCCCCGACCCAGAAAACAACGACCTCACTTCCTTTGACGTCAACAGGCACCCCTGCCAGCACACAACGAAAAACATCGACGAAAAAGCGGCGTACACTAACAATTACTGGCTGCTTAACTCAAGCAAACTTCCAATTTAGACCTCTTTGGATTCTATGGTGCTATGCAATTCCAGAAGCGAATTCAAGCCAATACAAACAAGTTCATTCCGCTGGCTGGGAACTCTCGTTCGCGTCGTTACCTAGCGACTCTCCTCGAATAACTTCGTTAGCTTCGCGGTTCGATATCGGAGGAGAACCTCTCAAGAACTTCGTACTTCTCAAGGAATCCTATAGCGTTCAACTAATTTCTTTGCTGCAGACAAAAACTTGTGAAGAAAATTAGTCGATAAAAATCGGAAAATCAAAAGTAACTGAGATTCTTCATGGGATGAACATTCACAATGAAATATGGCGTCCACATTCTGAAAGATAATTCTCAAAGTTTTTGATGAACTTGAGGAAATGGAATCGTCTGTAAGGCTCGTAACTCTGGAAAATATCGAGGAAGCTCGCCGCAGGAGGATTGAGGAACGCAGCAAAGCGATTTCGATTATCTCTGGACATTCATTTACCCTCAGTCGCATGACGAACCTAATTGGCTCAATCCGCTGCCCACTCATCACATTCACATACGGACATTGAACCAACTCTTCGCGAGAGCTAATAATGAAAAAAGCAACCTGATATAGAACAAACTACCACTTGGGAAAATCAATTCCGTGCATCAAACGTTGATGCATGTCAACACGGTCCTTAGAAACTGTGCCCAACAAAGCGATAAATTGCCCTTCCGAGTTAGGATGGTAATTAACGTCGTCCACTAAAGAGGCAAAAATAACCTGTATAAATATTGCATTGCCTCTCAAATGCTTTGCCGACCTGGAGCGAACCAATAGCACTTATTTAGAAATGTGTTTTACCACTGACGTAATATGCTCCTTGTTTTGCCCATAGCAGACCCATAGCCTCAGGCCGGTGTCAGACTTCGCGAATCGAGAGATTTGCTTGCAGCGAAATGCTCGATTCGCAAAGTCTGACACTGGCCATAGAGGTGACATGTAAACTCCACACGCGCGCATAATCAATAACCATTCCTCAACTTGGGCACAAATGGGTCTATTTCACGGCTAGAGCACTAAAGCAGATCTATATTCAAAATCTGTTTTTGTGAAGGATTTCCCGAAATAAAATCACTTCAAAAAGGGGTGCATGCACGCGTCATGTGCTTATTGCTTGGTATGGGCAGGGGAAGGGCCGGGATAACTATTCTAGGTGAAAACTAATTCGAAAAATCAGAACCGCATGGGTGATCCGTTGGTAAGGCTCCACCCTGGCTTTGTTCCAAAATGCCTTTCGAAAAGGTAAACTTTCGGAACGAGATGGAGTTAGGGAATTTACGCCGACGCAATCCTCACTTGTTGTCGAAAAGTCACAGATATGGTCTCTGTTCTGTTCCAGAGCTGATCATACCACTTAGTTCTAGTGGTCGAGCGCTCTTTATACGCCAAATTAGCCGATCAGTGGATAAGCCCATGACGTGGCATCCCGACCATTTTAATTCCATACGGGAGGCGCTAGCCTAGTTCTCTAATGGCATACCCGACGAAACGCAATAACGCATCAGAGATTGGGAAGAGGGCGCAAATGAGGCGCTACCACTTGTTCGTCGGTTATCTCCCACGACCATTTCCACTAGGCCAGCGACCTTGCTGTCAAATTACCTTTTACCTAAATCTCTGCAGTTGTTGTTGCACCATTTGGAGTTGTTTTGAAATGCAACGATCCAAATTTCATCCCGTCGAATGTTTTCGAGCGTGCGACACTACTGAATACTGGGAAGAGCAGGGGGAAGTAGGAGACGCCGGCCACACGAAACGACCATTCGGCCTCGATAAAAGGGGCACAAAAAATGGCGAGCGAACGAGAAAATGAGAACACAAAACCCATTAACTCCAAATTCTTGAAACACTCACAAACACACTTGAAAAACATCTACGCGCTATGAATTGCTGTGTACCAAATTCAACAACTGGGTCACCCCACAAGTACCCTTTATGCCAGCCATTTACGCAAAATTACAGAAATTTGACAGCTTATACGGCAAAAACACAGTTGATGACTCCTTCCGACTTATTGATTAACGAAATACCCTTTCGGCATCATCAAAACATGCGCAATCAATTTTCAGATCTAACGACTCATGAAAGATAGCCCATCATTTCAGGAGGAATTGAGCTACCTAAAAAGCGATATGTCCTTCACCTGGATAGACTCAAAAGTAGAACACGATACGCAGTAAAAAGATTAGCGCCTGCTTCGATTTGGTAAGGCAAGGTCTGATTTTTGGATCGATTGGAAAATCAATGATTAGATGAATTACCAATGAAAAAATACTGATAATTCTCTGATTCCTTCACTGAAGGTTTTCTCAATTTCTCGAAGCAATTTCAAAAATACATATCACGTCTGCAGAAGGTTCAAAAATGGAGGGTTCAAAAATGAGACTGCAAGTGCTGCGTGGTCCGCCACTACTGAAAAAAAAACAGCCGAAACGCTAAGA